AGCTACTGCTCTCCGCATTCCAAGCCATTCAACTGCTCTGAAGATGGAGGCGCTACGTTCCTCCGAAACGTCGGCCAAAACGAAGAATACACGGTGCCTAAACACAGAAGACGACTTTCTTCAAGTAGGCCATACTTTCTAAGTTTCCCAGGATTATATGTTCGTATATGAAGCCTTCCCTTCCAAGGAATCACAGATTCGTCCAAAGACAGTTGTTGGTTTGGCTTATAAACGGTCTGAAATTTCTGAATGAAAAAGTTTAATAAGGGCTGAATTTTGAAAAGCCAGCTTGTTGATTGTGGTTGCAGTTCATTATTATTGAAATGCAAACACCAGCAAATTTGTTCAAATCTCTTACGGCTCATTATTTTGCCGAAAATTGGAATTTCTAAAAATGGATCTGTTGACCAATACTCTTTTAGATTATCCCTCTTTGTATGCCCCATTAGAATGGTTATTGCAAAAATTTTTTTCATTTCTGCTGAAGTGACATCCATCCACTTCATCACCTTATAACTTTTGTCATACTCTTCATTGTGTTGGAGATGGTATCTGTTAGTTTCCTGACATAACATGTCAAAGAAACTATCCCCAAAAAACAGTTCTGCTACTTCAGACACTTGTGTTGGGTCCGATGGAATTTGTTTCACCCCCGGATTTCCAATAAACTGTCCCAAAGTAGGCGTTTTGTCTAGTTTTCCCCATGTGGCTGTCCCCACAATGTTACTACCCACATTTTCATCGGGGCTACTTTCACTTTTATTGTCTGTGGCCACAATTCTTTGTTGTCCTCTGTCACTGCCACTGTGAGCCACTATCACTACTCCTCTCACAAGGCACGTCAGATAGCTCATCAGAGAACGAGTCAGATATTTCTTGTTCTCTGAGAGATTGCGTGGTCTTCAGCCGCTTTCGTCTTTGATCAATATTGCACTACTAACTTCTTGCCTGGTACATACAGATTGAAGGGACAAAGATCATTTTCCTTTGGAGTGGGGAACCAAAACAGCGAGGTGAAGTTACTGACTACTAAGCAAACATTCTGGAGTTTTATTAGCCAGTAGTCATCCAGCTGCGTGGTGCCAGAGCAAGGTATAGGGTGTTACAACCTAACGTGTCCTAAAATCATGCGACCGGTCCGCCATATTTAAAAGCGAAAAGCATGCTATCATGCGACCGGTCCTTCATGTGTTAAGCTATATTATCAGTGAGATCTCATTTGTGACAAGTGACTTCTTGACTATAGGTTGTCCACATGAAGAAAAACATTTACTCTTAAAAATAAATTGTTATGTTTACTGTATGTCTTATATAACTGTCTGAGAATGGTTAGGACCTGCCATAATGTTTACTCCCAAAAACTCAAACCCAGGACAGTTTTCAAGCAATCAGCACCTTCCTGTCACACTCTGAGGTCACTAGAAAATTTAAGGAGCGCAGCATACAAATTTGCATTGCCTGCTGTTGTCATATCTAGAACAGTGTAGTTGGAAACATGCATGACAAATACAGACGTCATACCCACTACAATACAGAGTAACATATGACATGTTAAGACATCATACCCACGTAACTAGTTAAGCATTGTATTGTTGTAGTGCATCTTACTTAATAGTTGTTAACTTCCTGGTTTGAATTTTCTCCAGGGCAGAAAATGTATGTCCTCTGATTTTTGTTGTTTACCTAATTTCCTTCACATGAATGCTGGGATAGTACTTTGAAGTTGGCCATAGCCATTTATTTCAAAATTTGCCAGTTATAATGATACTCCTACATATATCATTCTGTATCTATGGTCTTTGCCTCTGATACAGCATCGTCAGTTAGCCCAAAAATAAATAGGTTCATTGAACCCAAATTGAAGAGCGTTCTTGATTTCACTTGCATATGACAAATACACTTTGTTAACAAAATAAATGTTCATTTTTGCAGCATGGTCAGACAGCTTTAATGCTTGCTGTTTCCCATGGTCGCCTGGACATGGTGCAGTTGCTGGTTGAGGCTGGGGCAGACATGAACATTCAGGATGAGGATGGAAGCACAGCACTGATGTGTGCAGCAGAGCATGGACACACTGAAATTGTGAAACATCTGTTAAACCAGCCTGACTGTGATGCTTCTATTATGGACTGTGTATGTTCAAATATTCAGATAATGTTTGTTTTTTTTATTATTATTAAAAGAAATTTGTATGTGAGTATTTAATCAGATGGTGCCCTGTTAAGTACTACTCCATACAAACATATCCTTATGCTTAATTAAACATTATGCCATGAAGGCATGGGAGAGTCAATGTCAATGAAGGTTAGCAGCCCTATGTTAGTGTAAATTTTTAATTTCCCATGTAAGGTAGTGGGTTGCATCTGTAGTGTAGATTGGAGGTAGCCAAACTTCTTACTGTCACTTAATGGTTTAAAGGCTGTTTCCTGGCAAATTCATTTTTGGCATATTTAGATGACCATTATACCCCAAGCATAACTTTTAGAACAGTGATGAGACATCTGATGCTCACAAGAGCCCTCCACTGGTCCATATACTGAGCCAGATCTATCCAATCCATACCATCCCATCCTGTCTCTCTAAGATCCATTTTAATATTGCCCACCCACCTACGCCTTGGTCTTCCCTGTGGTCTCTTTCCTTCTGGCTTTCCCACCAATATCCTATATGCATTCCTCGTCTCCCCCATTCATGCTACATGACCTGCCCACCTCATACTCCTTGACTTGGTCATTCTAATTATATTTGGAGAAGAGTACAAGTTATGAAGTTCCTCATTATGCAGTTTTCTCCAACCTCCTGTCACTTCACCTCTCTTTGGTCCAAATATTCTCAACACCCTGTTCTCAAATACCATCAGTCTATGTTCCTCCCTTAATGTCAGAGGCCAAGTTTCACACCTATACAGAACCACAGGCAAAATTATAGTTTTGTATATTATAATTTTTATATTTTTAGACAACAGACGAGAAGACAAAAGGTTCTGGACTGAATGATAGCAAACATTAC